AAGGGCTTCAGGCGGTCTGCGGAGGTCAGGGATTCCTCTGAGTTTTGAGTGACAGGAGGACACCCTTAGATGTGTGACCCACTTGCCTTTTGTTTGAAAGGTGAATGGCAGCGCCCTTTCCAGGTGGGCGCCAGTGCAGGGATTGGGGTTGCATGTCTCTTCTAACTGAATTCTCAGCCTCACTGTGTAACGTCTTTATTCTCTCCTTTCAGAATATTCCCCAGAGCACAGAGATGCTGAAGAAATTGGTGATGACAAATGAGATTCAGAGTAACATTTACACGTGATTCCAGATGGTTTTGTCACCTGTGTCACCTGTCCATTCCTTGGGGGGCAGCAGCAGCACTGTTTCATAGGTTCCTTTTTTTTAAGAAGTATTTTGAGGGTATTAAAAACAGAATAAACTTATTTTAAATTCATTGTAGTTATAGTTGTTTTTTGTGGTGGTGCTGTTCACGGCTGAAATAAGCCAGTTGTTTTTTTTATCCACTAGGTGGGAGTATTGTTTTATTTGAGTGTTTTGAGGTAATATAGTTGTTTTTAAAAAGCCACAGGTTGTATTAATATGGCAAAGTATAGTTAATTTGGTGCAGAAATTCTCTGTGATATCTGAAAGTTGATGGTCTGTTGGTGATTCCTAATATACGGAAAGTTTTTCATAGGAAGTTTTATGAGTTCTACAGTTTTGGTTTTTTTTTTGTTCTTTGGGTAAAAATTGATAAGGTAACAAAGATATATATTTGCTCAAAATGAAATAGTAATACAGTTGCATTTATTTCATCACTTCAGTAATACTTGACAGGCAGCCTCTTCACCCACTTTCTTAGGGCTCTTGTGCAAGGTTAACTGTGTTGGTGTAATCAGCACTAATGGGGTGTTCTCATTGGAATGTGACTTGAGTCACGAACTCCTAGTAGCCATACTACTTCCCAAAACCACAAACTCAAGTGCATTAGTGAAAATAAGTTTTAAAATGGAGTTTAGAAATGTTTCTTACTCTTTTTCTTCCTTTTTAGGTATTGAATAATTTATATACTAGAGGTCCGTGCACCGGTGGGGGCCCTCAGCCTGGCCTGCACCCTCTCGCAATCTGGGACCTGTTGGGGGATGTCGGACTGCTGGTTTTGGCCTGATCCCCACAGGCCAGGCCGAGGGACCCCACTGGTGTGTGAATCTGTACACTGGGCCTCTGATATGCATATAAGATCTTTAGTTAATCTCTTCCCGCCCTCCCCGCTTCCCTCTTCCCTCTGAGATTCATCAGTCTGTTACATGTTTCCATGCCTGTGTGTTGAGCATCTGCCCCCTGGTGGTCAGTGTGCATCATAGCTACCGGTTGGCCGGTCGCTTAAGCTTTTATATATATAGATAGCTTTATACCTCCTACCCATTTATACCTTCTAGATTCAGTTTATTTACTGTCATTGGTAGTGGTTGGAGGTGGGGTGGGAGAGGCCGTTTACTCACTCCTTGAGTAAGCTTGGTTTCCTTCCAGTAGTGAAGTTTTGTGTTTAGTCCATGTATGAATACATCCTGGTAGAAATGGAAGTGTTTTCCTTGTTGCAGAAACAGTGTGCATCCATTTACAGATGTGTTTGTAGAGCCCGAAGGTGACATCAGTTGTGAGAATGAAAAGACATAAAAGTCTAGATATATTGAATTTTAAGGCCAAAGTATCCAGCAGATAAGAACAAACAATGACCTATCTTGCCCATCAGCTGTTACCGCCTAATGCCCGCATTTGACTTTGGAGGCTTAAAGCAACCACCATCCATTCTCATGGTGCCGGTGGGTGGGTGTCCCTGCTAGTGTGTGCTGTGTGCACACACTATTGTGTCATTGTGTCATTGTTCCCTCAGCAGGTCTGCCCAGGCATTTCTCACAGTTGCAGAGGAGCAAAAGGGAACAACCTGGCTGGGGTGGCTCAGTGGTTGAGCATCGACCTATGAACCAGGAGGTCATGGGTTGATTCCTGGTCAGAGCATATGCTGGGGTTGTTGGCTCGATCCCCAGTGCAGGAGGCAGCTGATCAGTGAATGATTCTCATCATTGATGTTTCTCTCTCCCTCTCCCTCTCCTTTCCTCTCTGAAATCAATAAAAAAATATATTTAAAAAATAAAGAAAATGATTTTTTTTTAGTTCATAGTATAGCTTTGCAGCAAACAGGCAAATTATTACATGATTTGAGATTTAGGACACAAACTTGTAAAAATTAGTTTGGTATGCAGCCAAGTTACGCAACACACAAAAGTCAACTGTCTAACAGTTTTGCTCCTGTTATTCTTGACAGAGGCCTGGAAAGAGCCTATTTTACAAACCACGACACCAAGGCCACGGTGATTGAGTAGGGCAGGTCGGACCCTGGCAGTGCCGCACCACGCTCTGCTCTTCCTGCTCGGCCGGGGCTGCAGTGGCCAGAACTCCTCATGGCCGGAACCACCTGGGAGACTGGGCTCAGCCCTGCAGGGAGGGAGGGTCCAGAAGACCAGATTCCAGGCCACAGCAGCTCTGCATCCCCCGTCACAGCCGGTGGACCTGGGGGTGACCGGCAGTCTGTGGCCAGGCCACGCTGACATGGGGCCAGGCTGTTGATATGTGGTGTCTCCAAGGGCGGCCGTGGGGCCCATCACAGTCTTCTGTGGAGGCTGAGCTCCGGCCTGGGCCTGGCTGTCGTGACACTCATCCCCTCCCTGAGTCCAGGTCTGCCAACCGAATGCGTGGGCACAAGCTGGGCAGAGAAAGGGGGGTGCCTGACTCCAGGCCTGCTGGGAGGAACATACGGGGCGTGCGGCCGGGCTCAGACACGGCAGCTGGGAATCTGTGGGTGCAGAGAGAAGACACTGAAATAGCAGCACTGGCCTCGGGGCTGGGCTCTGGATGGCAAAATGGGATTTGGAAGCCCGTCTTCTGGGAATAGCTCCTCCTACCGAGCCTGGTGAGTCCTCGCCAGCAGCTGCCAGTGCCAGGGCACCCATCCCAGGGCACCTCGGCCCACAAGGCCCGGCCGCACAGACCCCACAGCCAACACTGGGTGCCAGCCGGCTCAGCCAAGACAAACCCGCTGCCAGGCTTGGTGAGGCTGGCTTCTGGGCTTGTCCCCGGAGAGGTTGGGTTTCTCTCTCTGATTCCAGGATGCCACCAACTTGCAGAGATGCTGGGCCTGCGCAGAGGCCCCCAACGCCCCGCCCGCCCTGCACAGGACATGCACACTGAGGCAGGTACCGGGCCAGGCAGGGCTCCGGGCACCTCCAAGGTCTTCTCACGGCTGGACCCGGCGGGGTCTCCACGGGGTCAAGCATGGGCCTTTGATGTTTATGGCAAAACCACCTGCGTCTTGAGCCGCCATGTGGCTGCCAGACTGCGGAGCTGCTGGCGATGACTCAGAAATTCCGGGCGGGCCCTCTAACGGCTGGAGCGCTGGCTTTCGACCACACGGTAATAACTTGGCCGCCTGCTCCATCTCTTAATATTAAAATGTGAGATCGCTCCTATATTCATGTCTGTGCGTTGTAAACCCGATATTACACATGACCGATACCAAAATAGTTCCAAGTGTATGCATTTCAAAGGAAATGGAGTCCTCGGGCCGCAGCGGACTTGAAAGGTGCCGGAGGAAAGGGTAGGACACGCTGTTGTTACTGCAAGTTCGCAGAAATGCTGGGGCCTTTTAAGAGATGAAGTTCATTCTGTCGAAAAAGTTTAAATGTTACGTAGAACCCCCAAAGCGTTTCTGTGTTTGGACTAATCTGCTTAGAGTTCTAACAGTCATCCCGTTTCTCCCCCTAAGATTCTATAGTCCATCAGCGGACGTGCTGCGATCCTCCCTGGTTCTAGAATTCCCACCTCCTTTCAGTCCTAAAGCTTCCTGAAGCCGCGATGTCATCCTGGCCCTCTGCCCTCTGCCCTCTGGAAGCGTCTGCGGGTGCCCAGCGTGAGCTCACTGTCCGAGCTCACCGTCCAGCTCCTAAATGCTCGGCCGCCTTGTCTCAGACAAGGCTCGTAGGAGAGAATTGGGTCTCGGGTAAGCAAAGGCTCATTTTATTATTATTTTTAAATCCTCACCCGAGGATATTTTTCCATTGACTTTTAGAGAGTGGAAGAGAGAGGGAAAGATAGAAACATCAATGTGAGAGAAACACATCAATTGATTGCCTTCCGCACGGGCTCGTGCAGAAGGATCCTGCAACCGAGGTGTGTGTCCTTGACCGGAATCCAACCCAGGACCCTTCGGATCCACGGAGCCAAACTGGCTCATTTCATCGCCACCTCCGCCTTCCATTGGCCTGGGGCCTCCGTTTCCCTGACCCACCCCTTCCCCGTGCGCGTCCTGTCAGTTCATCAGGTGAACTCCAGATACCTGCTCCCGTCCGGGCTCCTGCCTGGCCCACCTCTGGCTTATCTCCCCCTGTACCGCCCCCTTTCTTCAAAACTCAGCTCCACTTGCAGCTGCTCTCACCTAAAGCCCATGGAGCACCTGGGACCATCTTACCTGGACCCGGAGCGCTCTGAGCAGACACCACCTCCGGGGAAGACCTGCGGGGCCGGTGATGCTCGTCCAGATTTCCAGAACTCGGGTGGGGCAGACACCTCTGGGGAGAGGAGATGGGAGACCTGCCTGCAGGTGCACCCCGCACAGGTGAGAATTCTCTGGAGCCGGAAGTCGGCAGGTGCGGGAACAGGAAGTAGAATTTTGGCCACAGCAGTTCAGGGTTATCACCAGTTTCCCCCTGAGTAGGAATTAGAGCCAGGAGCGGGCTGTGCAGTGCAGAGCGAGAAGCACGGCCCTGGGGCCACTTGGACTTGGGGGGAACCCCACCTCTGACCCCTGTTAGCGGGATGGCCTCAGGTAAGTCACGGAACAGGTCTGAGCCTCGTTTTCTCTTTTGTAAAATAAAGAAAATAGAATCTGGCCCTGGCCAGTGTGGGTCAGTTGGTTGGGCGTCTTCTCATGCATCGAAAGGTTGCTGGTTCAATTCCTGGTCAGGGCACATCCTGGGTTGTGGGCTCGATCCCCGGTGAGGGGCTGTGCAGGAGGCAGCTGATCAATGTATTGCTCTCACATCCATGTTTCTCTCTCTCTCTCTCAAAATCAATTATAAAGTCTTTTAAAAAAAGGAAAGAAAGTAGACTCTGCTGGGGTGAGCTGGTTGTAGGATTGCAGGCTGTAACCCGTGTGCGATGTGTATTCCTTACATCTGTGTTCATTCTTCACCGGGAGCAGTGGTGCAGCACTCGCTGGTTCCGGGCGACCTTGAACCACCTGAACAATGAGATCGACTGCACTTGGTTTGCGGGTCTCCAGACAAAGACGCGCCTCGGGGGCGGGCGTCTCTCAGGTGGCAGTTCTGAGTCCCGCGTCTCTGGGAGACCGAGGTTGTGGGGGGCAGGCGAAGTGGGGAGGTGGGGAGGAGTGTCTTAGTGCTCAGGCTACTACAGCACAATTCCATAGGCCGCGTGGCTTAAAATATATTCTTACAGCTCTGGAGGCTGGATGTCTCCAATCAAGATGCGCTGAGCCGGTACCTGGAGAGAGACTCTCACTTGCAGGCAGCCATCTTCCCTCGTCTCCTCGTGGTGGGGGGAGCAGCTCTGTTCCTCTTAGGAGGGCACTGTCCCACCCTGCAGGCACCCCCCCACACCCATCACCTCCCAGAGGCCCCCTCCACATACCGCCACACTGTAGGGGGGGTGTTTCAACATCAGAATTAAAAAAAGATATATTTTTTTATTGATTTCAGAGAGGAAGGGAGAGGGAGAGGAGAGGGAGAGAGAGCGAGCGAGCGAGAGAGAGAAACGTTGATTGGCTGCCTCCTGCACCCCCACACTGGGGATGGAGCCCGCCACTTGGGCATGTGCCCTAATGGGGAATTGAACTGTGACCTCCTGGTTCATAGGTCGACGCCGAACATCAGAATTCGGAGGGGACATAAACATGCAAGTCCACAGCAAGGAGGGAGAACCGTGGCCCCGGGTCCGGGGTCAGGAGTGACAGAGACAGATGGGGGAGGTGAGGGGGAACGTGGGTGTCAGCCCTGGGGCAGGAGTGGGATGCAGCGCAGAGAGGGGGTGGGAGGTGGGAGGACTTGGTTTCCGTGGGCAGGACCCTCGGGCTACATGCTGACAACACGGTGCAGGAGGAGAAATCCAAGGACAACTGCTCCTCTGGGTTAAAAACTGAGTTATTTTTTTAGATATGGTTTTGTTTTTCATTTTCAGTGACCACTGCCCCCCCTGACGTAGGGATGCTCTGGAGCCGAAAAGCACCGTACTCGGGCTGTGGCCACTGCATCTGCGTCACAGCCGACCACCACTGCCTCACCCCTTCCCCTCCAAGGAGAGATTTATTCTCCCAAGGCACAGTCTCAGCCGCGGGAAATGTTCCATGGACGTGCTGCTTCTTTGGGCTCTCCCTGCCTCCTTTCCCCCCAGGCTAGCTAGTGGACTCACTGCAGAGCTCCTGAGCTGGTGTGGCTCAGTGGATAGAGCACTGGCCTGTGGACTGAGGGGTCCTGGGTTCGACTCCGGTCCGCGGCATGTGCCGGGGTTGTGGGCTTGATTCCCGGTGTGGGCCGTGTAGGAGGCAGCCGATCAAACCCCAGTGTGGGGCGTGCAGGAGGCAGCCCATCAATGATTCTGTCTCTTCATTGATGTTTCTATCCCTCTCCCTTCCTCTCTGAAATCAAAAAAATTATAGAAAAATAAACAAGCGAAAAAACTCACCAAAAAACAACTTCTGAGCTGAGTTCAGTCTGAGGAGAGGTTGTATATTTAATTAGCTTTGGTGTCTACTAAACACATTGGCACTGCAGCTCCTCTGGACAAAGGATCGTGCCCCCCCCACCCCCCCCGCCCAGGCCACTCTAGGTCTCGGGGAGCTGGCGTTTGCTGGGGCTGCTCGTGAGATGATGCTGCAAAGGACTTGCAGCCACTTGGGGCGCGTGGGCGCTGGCGTTCCTCACTGCGCATTTCCTGCTCGGAGATGAGACCAGCACCAAGTCATGCGGGGTGCGACCCACAGATGACTCGTGGAGGCATTTTACGTTTCCATCACCTTATAAACTCAGTGTGTTAGAACATTTACTGTCTGTGTGTCTCTTTAAATAGATTTCTGTTATTAATAGGGATTTACAACCTAACTTCATTAGTGAAGTCTATTTCTGACTCTGGTGCTTTGGTGAGGATTTAGGTTCTTAGTCACCGTACGTGCCTGTCACACCGAGCAGAGTCTTAATGAGGCAGAGCAGCCGGGTCACACAGGCCCTCGGGGGCCCCGGGGAGAGATTAGGGTCCCAGACCTCGGCCTTCCGGGAAGCACAGTCTGGCCTTCAGGTGACCCCTGTTAGTCCCTGCGGGCAGGGCAGTACCACCTGCGGGCAGTGCCCAGAGCAGCCTCCCTCCCATGTCCAGAGAAGCCGCATATCACGAATCCCCTCCGACAAAGGGAACCTCCGGGGTCTGCTCCGCTCCCCTGAGAGAGAGGCCTCCCTACTCCTCCCCCTCCCCCCGCCTCTCTGCTGTTGTGGGCTCAGTGCTTTTAAAGGCCCTTTGCTTTTATTTGAATGGGTCCTTGGAAGGGAGGCAAATAGCACACGCCCATTCTCTTGTTTTATACAGAATTTTCTCCATTTATTTCCCATACATATTTAAAATATATGTACATATTTGTTGATTTCAGAGAGGAAGGGAGAAGGAGAGAGAGAGAAACATCAATGAGGAGAGAGATCATTGGCCCGCCCCCGTCCCACAGGACAGACACCCTGCCTTCTGTCGCCAGGCCCTTCTCGGTGCTCTCTCTCCGAGAAGCATGGGCTCCTGGAGAGACCTTCCGAGCATCAGATGCTCCATCACGTCCTCATGTAGCTCAGGGAGACGTGATGGGGAACGATTTCTAATTTCTCCCTTTTACCTCTTAGTGGCTCCCAACTTAGCTGCGTGTTCGCATCGCCCGGGAGATTTTCAAAGGCTCAGCGCCCTGCTGCAGGCCCCACTGCGCCAGTGTTTCTGAGGCGGGTGCTGGTGTCGGTATTGTTCTAACGCGCCTCCAAGTGAGTCTGGTGCTCTCTCTAATTCAAACCCCGCGGGGATCTTGTCAGTGGGTGGGGTGGGGGCTGTGATGCTGCTGGTGGGACACCCTCAGCTGGGGAGCGAGGGCACGGGGTCCCAGCGACAGGGCACATAGTAGGGCTGAAGAAGTGCTTGCTGAGTCAGGTAACGGCCTGGTGAACGCGAGGAGTAAGGGCCATATGGGACAGCGCCCATGCGCACACCTCACCGTTGGGGAAACTCACCACAGTGTTAAAAGTCACTGGAAGGTGCCTGGCTGGTGTGGCTCAGTGGTTGAGTGTTGACCTATGAACCAGGAGGTGACGGTTTAATTTGCGGACGGGGGACATGCAGGCTTGATCCCAGGGTAGGGTGTGTGGGAGGCAGCGGATCAGTGATTCTCTGTCATCATTGATGTTTTCATCTCCCTCTCCCTCTCCCTTCCTTTCTGAAATCAATAAAAGTATATTTTAAAAAAAGTCACTGGAAGTGTTTTGAACAGCAGTCTCTCGTTACTGCAAAACAGCTAGGTCAGCTTTGTGGCTGGAAGGAACTGACGCGTTACCCCCCTCAGGCATCTGCAGGTCACTTGTCCCGGGGACGTTTAAGAACAGGGCCGGGAGGGAAGAGGGGCCGTCTCCACGCAGCGGCCGCATGTTACGTCCGATGGCGGCGCCTTCCACCCAGCGCCCCTCACGGGACGGTGCTGCCTGCACACTCCCGCCCGGACTGCGAGAGGGTGAGGGGTTCAAGGTAGAGGAGCTGCCTGTCCCTGCAGCTCCTGCCAGCAGGCCGCTGGTCTGTTTCTAGAGCAGTGGTTCTCCACCTTGGCTGCACACTAGAATCACCTGGGAATCTTTTAAAAATCCTGATTTCTGGGCCTCATCCTCCGGAAATTCTGTTTGTTACTAATGTTGTGGCACCACCCCTG